GGGCTGGAACAACCAAAGGCTCGTGTGATCGGGGAGGAAGATAGTGCCCTGATATGTTGGGTGCGGATCTGTTGGGCCTTTGACCGGGCAGGTCCCAGCAGGTCCCAGCAGGTCCCAGATCGGGCATGGGCCAGGCGGAGCAACCGCTGCCGATCTCGGATGGGCCGAGGTGGGACGCTGGGAGAAATTCTTGTGGAAAGAGTTGGGACTCACCATCCGAGGTGTTGAAATTAGGGGAGCCGATTTTTGAGGATCCTGAAGGATCCTGAAGAATGGACCCCCCAATAAAGCCCCAAAATGGGTCGGATGCCATTTTGGGTTTCATTAAGGGCCCAAGACCCCAGTCACCTGCAGGACGGCAGAGGCAGAGAGAGAGGCGCAGCGCAGAGAGCTGGAACAACCTTCGAGCCCCTGGGAGTTCAGAGTTTGAGTTGGGGGGATGGAGCCTTAAAAAACAAGAGTTGAACAGAATGGCTTGACCATTTTTTTTGGTGATATATTTTTCATTATGAATCTTAGGACAGGGTTTCCGTCGAAAAAGGTTGGTTGGGTGGCCACTTCCTTGAATGTGCAAGCAATAGTCCAACGGTGGAGAACTGAGGTGAAAGGTTCAGGATGTGTCCTCCAAGAAACGAACAGAGAAACCATGGGGCTTCCTATTCTCCAGCTTGGAAAAGCATGGACTGGATGGACCTTTTCACAGGGCCTGGTCAGTTACCTGGGACAATCTAAGGCCGAACGACCATGTCGCAGACGCAGCCATCGCTGAAGGCTCTGCATTTGAAGACAGCTGTTGCTGAACCATCTTCCGCTTCCCAACATCAGGCTGAACATTTTTTATATACCCCCAAAAAAATCACCAAGCCAGAATTGGTAGAAGGGAAAGCTCACAGGAAACCATCATGTTTGGAGGAGTGTTTTACTGTCGTTTCCTGTGGATTCCCTGAAATCAGGCTGGACACAGTGCCAACTCACCACCTGAGATGCGAATGTCGGGGCCATGGGGGTGGCTATGGATCGAAATCTATAGGTTTGGGGATGATCTCCTCCATTTATATGAACCATATTATAATATAGTCTCATGTCTCATTTTTTCTAATTAGTCTCTTGCTCAAAATCTTATGCCATTTTTGGGGAGACGAACATCCTGACGGTGTCAAGGTTCATGGAGCCCATTGCCAGGGCCTCAAGAAGTTTTCGCCACCCAAAAAAGTCGCTGACTGTGGAGATAACACAAGGCTGTCGCGGGTGAGTATACCATTTTTTTGCAGCAGTTAATATTTATATGATTATAATATGTATATATATATATACATATTATATAGATGGAATACATATAATCTAATATACATAATATGATATATATATATGTATATTATATATATACATGTACTATAATTTGTATATGTATACATATGTATACATATGTATATATATATATACATAATATTATGCACATAGTCTAATATACATATATATATATAGTATGATATATATTATATATACACATATTTACAGTATGTAATATAGCACATATCTATTTTATAATAGATTGATATACTGAAAACTGAGTGCTATGAGGCGCCTGGCCAAGCTCGCAGCTTCCCAGCCTTCAATGGCCCTAGTGGCAGATCACTGCAGGCAGGGACCCAGCGGACCTAGCGCTATGGATGGGATTTCACCGTATAACCGCCAGAACAGTTGCAAACCTTGGGGTTTAACCATGTTTAACCATGGTTTAATCATGGTTTAACCATGGTTAAGCCATCAACATATCTCAAAATATGGGTGACATGGATATGGCTCAAGTCATTGGGATACCATTCCTGGATTGGGGGGAAACGATGAAACATTGACGCGTCCGGTAATAGCATGTAAAGCCACGTGGGGGAAACGATCAAACATTGCTTTGAAGCTTCTCAATCATCCATCGGGAAACCAATGATAGATTCTCAGATCAGATAGATTGGGGAAAAACAATGCTGCAGTATTGTTGATTGAGATTGATTGTAAAGAGCTCAGAATCATGGGCGCCCGTTTTTGAGAGATCACCTTTTTGGGACCGGGTTAGCACCTAAATTCTTGAGCAGTGGGTCATCAGTCAAACCTGGTGGTACTTAAAAGGATTCCAATTTTGGCGAAACCATATGGATATGGATCGAAAACCTTTGAAATACCATATTTCGTGGGGATAAACATCAACATCTTTAAAGAGACAGGTAATATGAATCATTGGCGGACGTGGGCTTTAACCATTGGCTCTTTGGAATATGAATCATGTGTTAAACAAATATACTGTAATTTACAGTGAAATCTGCTTTTTTATGACATGTAAAATCATCAGCACAAGGTCCCGGCCTCGGTGCAACGATTCTACACGCCGCTGCTTGGCAATTCCTTAAAAAAAAGGGCACCACGCTGCCATAGGGTTTTGTGACCTGACCATGTTGGGAAAAACATGGAAAAACGACCAAATCTGTTCACTACATGGCTGCATTATCTTCATTTCTAAAATTCAAATGGCCACATCCTGGGTGTTGATCCATCATGCAGGATGATTTTGAGGCAACAAAGCTTCCAAGCAGCTGTGCTGATGTCACATATACGTCACATATCAATTGGGCTCAGGTATATTGTCGCGAGACCTGCCAGTGCCACGATTCCTGTGGCACCAGCCAGCGGCAATTCGATCACAGTTGCGGTGACGCAGATGTCGCCCCCAACTGTTTTCAGGTGCAGAGATGGACAAAACAACCAGGCCCCCAAATGAAGATAAAGAGGAAAAAACGTGAGTTTGCCACAAAATACAAAAGACAACAATAAGAGCAAACTCTTGGCATTCTCCATCATCAGGCCCATGTCAGAGATATTTCTCTCAAAACTCTGCACCACTTGGGATTAAAATGCTAGATCAGCCAGGGGACACAGTAAAAAAACTTCCAAGGTAATTATTTCGCACAGATGTTTTCCCTATCTAAAATAGTACAGGATGGTGCGCCCCAGTTATAAGTTGGTTTATAAACCCCATTAACATCCATTAACTATAGTTATATCTACCATAAACCATAGGTTTGCCCCATTTTTCCAATAGGTCGCCGAGCCAACCGGCCATCTCGCCGTCGCGCACCTCCCTCGGCGCCGGCACGCCAGTGACGACCACGCTGCCGGCCACGCTGCCGGTGAGTGGGAGGCTTGAAAAAATGGAGAGATTTCATGAAGAGATCTATGAAGGGAAATTTTGGATGGAGATATTTGATGATGTCTGTATTATAATGTATTATATATATATTTGTATATATATATATATGTATATGTATATAGACATACATACATGTGTAATATATGTATATACATACATGTATAACCAAGAGTGGCAACTACAATGGGTTCAATATCTCAATATTTATGGAGGGGATGTGGGGACCAAACCTTTATATTTCCATATTTCTGGAGAATGAACATCCATTTGCAAGCTTTGACGAACTAGGGTTTTGAATTATAGATTTTGATCTGTCCCCATATCTACAAGGTTGACGGCAAAAAAGATCAAGAACCGATATACGTAAACACACACACATATATATATATATAGATACTATGAACAACTGGGGAGATTTTATGGGGATATTCACCAACAGTATTCGATTTGGAATATAGTAGGGATATAATAGAATATAATGAACAAAAGGACATTTAGAATTAACATATGTCTTTAACAGGCAGCGTGATATTATCGGTGGGGTGCAAGTGTATGATTTATACATTTTGACGGCTGTTCCCATGTGCGTGTGTCTGAAAGTGGGGTAAACCCTTTTAGGTGGCTACCCTTGAGCGGAAAATTATGATCAACCACTGGTTTTTTGGGACAAACCCTGAATATCATGTTGGTACCCTCTGGTTATGTCAAAATAGCTATTGAAAATTGCCATTTATAGTGGATTTACCCATCAAAAATGGTGATTTTCCATAGCTATGTTAGTTTACCGCAGGGTATCCAATCTGACGGCCTCGGATGCTGCGGATCCCAGGAATCTTCAGCGCGCGACGACGGGCGCCACTAATACGCCAGCCACCACGGTGAGAAGTACTCAAGCGAGCACTGCACCAGCACCGGTCTATGCACCTGTGAGGCTGGGACGCGATGTTTGTGGGCCTCCGGAAACTTGGTTGCTAGGATTTGGCAATCAGATGTCTTGTCAGATACCTGTTGGTCGACTTTTGATTTTTCAGATGCCTTTTCGGTCGTTGCTGTCAAACTCGACATGTCGATTCTCCTGGAGGTCTGTGACAGGCAGCCCCTATGGTACACCGGGCAGATATCAGCCACTGGGCATGGGCTTAAACAAATCGTCACATCGACGGAAAGAATCCAGCCTGATGGCCATGATGGCCATGATGGGCCTGTTTCTTCAAGTAACAATGCGTTGGGCTATTTGTGGATTGGTTTACCAAAAGATCTACTGTACTTTGTGATCTTTGTGCCTTGTAGCTTGAGGAATGTGGACCAACTGTCCCAGCTTCAAAACAACCATTGGGTCTACCAGTTGAAGCGACTTGGGATATCCTCGGGGTCCCAAAATTCGGACATTTGCAGTGCCTCGATCCACGGCCCTAGCTGTCCCGATCCCAAAAACAACTGCCTATTTCCCAAAATCATTTGCAAACCATGTCATTTCCCAACTTCAAAGCACCAGAAAAATCCATATCAATACCCCCCAGTACAGGACCCAAAATGAATAGATCCAATACTAAACCAAGGTCTCTAGGGGTGGTAGTAACTACTATTTTTTTTTTTGGGAATGGATGAGTGATGTTGCCAATGGGGTTGGGTGATGTCGTTCACCAAGGCCTAACATTTCATAATATGAAATTGGCATATATTGGCTATTTGTCAACATTTCAGGATAGTGAAACCATATAAAAACCTCCATTTCTTGATGGTCAAACCCAGGGAAAACCCAAGGCCCACACCTACGGTGTTGGTGTCTCCCGCTGCCACCATGCGCGTCATCGAAGCGCCCGCGGTGCCGCCTGGCACCATGACCGCGCCGCCTGCGCCGCTGCCCGGACCCATGCCGGGGGTGGCACGCTTCGAAACCAACAGGGAGGTGCCCAGGGGCCCAGGGTGGGGGTTGAGGGGCTAGTTAGCATCAGAGATTTTTTTTGGTAGAAGTTCCAGCCATTGAACTGGGAGTTGATAAGAGTATCTAACTATAAGAACCTGTAAGAACTAACTGGGAGTTGAGTTGGGGTTGGAACCAACTTATTAGCTATGATGCTGACCGGAACTGGAGGCTGTGATGGTAACTGGAAGGGGCCTATCACCACCATTCTAGATATGTGGTGACAAAATAACAGGTAGCTCGGCAATCACACAGGAGTCTTGGACTTCGCTTTGGGGTGGAGACATACTTGTAGCGGTTTGCTTTGATTTTGTGCATGATAGAAAATGTGAATTCAGCTGGAAATCGCCTGAAAAAGAGTATATAGCATATGAGATGGATTTTCAGATCCTAGATCTTGTCACCACGACACCATTTGACATAGCCAAAGAGTTTTTCGGAGATGCTAACGACAATCGATGTTTGCAACATCATGTATAGAGCTGCTGACGATGGTTCCAGGTGAGTCGACCGAGCATTGTCCCAACGCCATGGACTGGGGTCTTGGGAGAGGGGATAGCATGGAAGTACTGCGCAAAGAGCAAATGTCGTTTGGCTCCGAAGTACTGGGCAGGATTCTTCTTGAACAGCATGGTACAGAAGCCCCTGGGCAATTCCAATCTTTTTTGGATATCTACCCCTCATAGCAGCATAGTTTTTCACAGCAGGGCCCCCAGGCACCAGCACTTCACCTTCACCAGGACCGTTTCGGAGCCCATCACGCCGGGCGCCACCCTGGCGGCCCCCGCCACGCGGACGGCGCCGATGCCCGTGCCCGCGGCGCAGGCGGCCACGGCGCCGGTGCCAATGCTGGCGCCGATGCAATCGATGCAATATCCCTTCATGGCGTATCCGCCCACGTCACTCAGTCCCAGGAGTCCCCAGGTATAGTGGGAGTTATAACTTGTAACCGTTGCAACCTAATGAATTCAGGGCAGGGGCAATGTCCAGTTATAACTGGGGTCATAGTCCACTTCCGAATTGGAATGAACCGATCTAACTAAAAACCTGAGATTGTCCCTGGTGTTTTTGGCAGATTTGGGTGATTTGGGTTGATGGGTTTCACAGGTGGCATGATACAAAGGAGTTGGCGGCGGCTACTGCAAACAAGGAATAAGGTAGTTGGTGAACCGGGATGGCAAGTTGCGTTAGTAGAGGAGGACTAAACACAGCTATCACAGATAGTCCCAACTGAGAGAATACTTGTGGTACGGAGCATTTTTTTTCAAGGCTTTGGACATTGGGTTACAATATCCATCAATATCCCAAAAATCCAGAAATGGCAAACCACACTGCATTTACGAATATCTCAAAAGTGCCGCGCATCATCCCTGCTTTTGCTTCTCAAAATCACTCGCTAATATGTTTTTCTGTCCCTAACTCTCAACACACGCGCACACACACACAAGAATCAGTCCAGGATTGCATGCTGAACCGGTCCATTTTTCCCGAGAGCGCCTGCGAAGGGTTCTTCGTAAAAAAGCAGCCGTTATACTAGATCTTCACTCCTTCACATCTGCTGATCTAGATCTTCACACCTTCACATCTGCTGATCTAGATCTTCACACCCTCACACCTGCTGATCTAGATCTTCACACCCTCACACCTGCAGATCTAGATCTTCACACCTTCACATCTGCAGATCTAGATCTTCACACCCTCATATCTGCAGATCTAGATCTTCACACCCTCACATCTGCAGATCTAGATCTTCACACCCTCACACCTGCAGATCTAGATCTTCACACCCTCACACCTGCAGATCTAGATCTTCACACCCTCACATCTGCAGATCTAGATCTTCACACCTTCACATCTGCAGATCTACATCTTCACACCTTCACACCTGCAGATCTAGATCTTCACACCCTCACATCTGGAGATCTAGATCTTCACACCCTCACACCTGCAGATCTAGATCTTCACACCCTCACATCTGCAGATCTACATCTTCACACCCTCACATCTGCCGATCTAGATCTTCACACCCTCACATCTGCAGATCTAGATCTTCACACCCTCACACCTGCAGATCTAGATCTTCACACCCTCACATCTGCAGATCTACATCTTCACACCCTCACATCTGCCGATCTAGATCTTCACACCTTCACATCTGCAGATCTAGTCTTCACACCCTCATATCTGCAGATCTAGATCTTCACACCCTCACATCTGCAGATCTAGATCTTCACACCCTCACACCTGCAGATCTAGATCTTCACACCCTCACACCTGCAGATCTCACACCTGCAGATCTCGCTCTCTCTTCTCTATTCTCTCTTAAGGCGGGGGCGGTGCCGCCGGAGCGCCACGAAACGTAACCCTTTCGCACGAAATGGACGTTGGACGTCCAAAACCTAGGTAAAATTCGATTTGAGCGTCGCCGGCAACAACTTTCGCACGAAATGGACGTTGGACGTCAAAAACTGAGGAAAAATTGCAACTTTGAGGTGTCGCGCGCAACCCTTTCGCACGAAATGGACGTTGGACGTCAAAAACTGAAGAAAAATTGCAACTTTGAGGTGTCGCGCGCAACCCTTTCGCACGAAATGGACGTTGGACGTCAAAAACTGAGGAAAAATTGCAACTTTGAGGTGTCTCGCGCAACCCTTTCGCACGAAATGGACGTTGGACGTCAAAAACTGAGGAAAAATTGCAACTTTGAGGTGTCGCGCGCAACCCTTTCGCACGAAATGGACGTTGGACGTCAAAAACTGAGGAAAAATTGCGACTTTGAGTTGTCAATCGCAACCTTTACGCACGAAATGGACGTTGGACGTCAAAAACTGAGGAAAAATTGCGACTTTACTTTGTCAATCGCAACCCTTACGCACGAAATGGACGTTGGACGTCAAAAACTGAGGAAAAATTGCGATTTTACTTGGTCAATCGTAACGCTTTCGTCTGTGTAAAAGTGTCTGTGTGTAAAAGCGTCTGTGTGTAAAAGTGTCTGTGTGTAAAAGTGCCGTGTGTAAAAGCGTCTGTGTGTAAAAGCGTCTGTGTGTAAAAGGGTCTGTGTGTAAAAGCGTCTGTGTGTAAAAGCGTCTGTGTGTAAAATCCTGTGTGTAAAAGCGTCTGTGTGTAAAAGCGTCTGTGTGTAAAAGCGCCTGTGTGTAAAAGCGTCTGTGTGTCAAAGTCTCTGCGTGTCAAAGCCTCTGTGTGTAAAAGTCTCTGTGTGTAAAAGAGCCTGTGTGTAAAAAGCGTCTGTGTGTAAAAGCGTCTGTGTGTAAAAGCGTCTGTGTGTAAAAGCGTTTGTGTGTAAAAGCATCTGTGTGTAAAAGCGTCTGTGTGTAAAAGCAACTGTGTGTAAAAGCTTCTGTGTGTAAAAGTGTTTGTATGTAAAAAGTGTTTGTGTGTACAAGCTTCTGTGTGTAAAGCTTCTGTGTGTAAAAGCGTCTGTGTGTAAAAGCGTCTGTGTGTAAAAGCGTCTGTGTGTAAAAGCGTCTGTGTGTAAAAGGCTCTGTGTGTAAAAGCGTCTGTGTGTAAAAGCGTCTGTGTGTAAAAGAGCCTATGTGTAAAAAGCGTTTGTGTGTAAAAGTCTCTGTCTGTAAAAGCGTCTGTGTGTAAAAGCGTCTGTGTGTAAAAGCTTCTGTGTGTAAAAGCCTCTGTGTGTGAAAGTTTTTGTGTGTAAAAGCGTCTGTGTGTAAACGCTTCTGTGTGTGAAAGTGTTTGTGTGTAAAAGGGTCTGTGTGTAAAAGCGTCTGTGGGTAAAAGTGTCTGTGTGTAAAAGTGTCTGTGTGTAAAAGTGTCTGTGTGTAAAAGCGTCTGTGTGTAAAAGGGTCTGTGTGTAAAAGCGTCTGTGTGTAAAAGCGTCTGTGTGTAAAAGCGTCTGTGTGTAAAAGCCTCTGTGTGTAAAAGCGCCTGTGTGTAAAAGCTTCTGTGTGTAAAAGCCTCTGTATGTGAAAGTGTTGTGTGTAAAAGTGTCTGTGTGTAAAAGTGTCTTTGTGTAAAAGCGTCTGTGTGTAAAAGCTTCTGTGTGTAAAAGCGTCTGTGTGTAAAGGAGTCTGTGTGTAAAAGCTTCTGTGTGTAAAAGCGTCTGTGTGTAAAAGCGTCTGTGTGTAAAAGTCTCTGTGTGTAAAAGCTTCTGTGTGTAAAAGCGTCTGTGTGTAAAAGCGTTTGTGTGTAAAAGCGACTGTGTGTAAAAGTCTCTGTGTGTAAAAGCTTCTGTGTGTAAAAGCGCCTGTGTGTAAAAGCTTCTGTGTGTAAAAGCCTCTGTGTGTAAAAGCTTCTGTGTATAAAAGCCTCTGTGTGTAAAAGCTTCTGTGTGTAAAAGCCTATATGTGTGTGAAACTGTTGTGTGTAAAAGCGTCTGTGTGTAAAAGGGTCTGTGTGTAAAAGGGTCTGTGTGTAAAAGCGTTTGTGTGTAAAAGTGTCTGTGTGTAAAAGCTTCTGTGCGTAAAAGCACTTGCGTGTAAAAGCGCCTGTGTGTAAAAGCGTCTGCGTGTAAAAGTGTCTGTGTGTAAAAGCGTCTGTGTGTAAAAGTGTCTGTGTGTAAAAGCGACTGTGAAAGTGTTTGTGTGTAAAAGCATCTGCCTGTAAAAGCGCCTGTGTATAAAAGCGTCTGCGTGTAAAAGTGTCTGTGTGTAAAAGCGTCTGTGTGTAAAAGTGTCTGTGTGTAAACGCGTCTGTGAAAGTGTTTGTGTGTAAAAGCGTCTGTGTGTAAAGGAGTCTGTGTGTAAAAGCTTCTGTGTGTAAAAGCGTCTGTGTGTAAAAGCCTCTGTGTAAAAGCCTCTGTGTGTGAAAGTGTTTGTGTGTAAAAGCTTCTGTGTGTGAAAGTGTGTGTGTCTAAAAACATCTGCGTGTAAAAGCGTCTGTGTGTAAAAGCCTATGCGTGTAAAAGTGTCTAGTGTCTGTGTGTAAAGGCGTCTGTGTGTAAAAGCCTATGTGTGTAAAAGTGTCTAATGTCTGCGTGTAAAACCTTCTGTGTGTAAAAGCTTCTGTGTGTAAAAGCGTCTGTGTGTAAACGCTTCTGTGTGTAAAAGCGTCTGTGTGTAAATGCGTCTGTGTGTAAAAGCGTCTGTGTGCAAAAGCGTCTGCGTGTGAAAAACAATACGAAGGATAGGATGCAAACCAGTGTTTTGTACTTGTAGTATATTGTCTTGATACTACTTGTCTCGCCTGCCTAAAATACATCTTTAATATATTGTCTTGCAATATAGTGTCTCAATACTAACAACAGAAGACCCTGCTCTCTCTCTCTCTCTCTCCCCCTCTTTCTCTCTCTCTCTCTCTCCCTCTCTCTCTCTCTCTATCTCTCTCTCTCTCTCTCTCCCTTTCTCTCTATCTATGTCTCTCTGTGGTTGCAAGACACGTGTCATATGATGCCCTTTACCAAGCAGCACAGTGCATATGCATGGGTTGTCACATGTATCCTCTTCTTAATCAATCTTACTTTTCACAACTTACCCCTCCATAGCTCATATAAAATTCACCAACCTATCACCGACTATTTTTTACGACTACCATACTCAGAGCTGCTTGAAAAACGTCTTTTTCGCTCTCGGGCCAACCGTCGTCTAGTTTTTTCCGGTGGTTAAGAGGGACCTAAGGAGGTTTGGTTATCCACAATTCCTAGTAAATGAGGGCCAAGGAGCTACGAAGAGCCCCCAACCACATGATAAATCTTACTTTTTCCAGTTTGCCCATTGATTCATCCAGTGATTCATGGGGATCGTTGTGATTTTTTCTAGCACCCTTCAGCTGAGGTACCGGCCCCCGATGATGGCCCCTTGGTGGAATAGAGGCCGTCCTATGGAACATCGCGAGACAAGATGGGACACTTCGATAACCACTTCGATATTGAAACGGCTTCAAGCTATATAATCACCTACAAATCTAAGATGTTCTAATGTTATAATATATGTATATATATATATATCTTAGATCCACAAACCGATTTTGCCAGGAATTCTGGTCATGCAGTGGTACTGCTTCCCTCATAGAGTTTGCCGGAGGTTTGGAAACTTCCCATGCACCGCTACTAAGCTCATTGAGTCGCCACACAACGCACAAGTCCTCACGTAAAGTCGTCAAGTCACTAGCTGACTCACTCAATTATGTATATATATATTACTATATATATATGTATAATAATGATAGCTTCTCAACTCAACTATTTGCAATCTTTTGATGATTTAGAAGGAAGGTGATATTCGCTCCAGCAAGATTTCACCGTCGAAAGAACTGGGTGGATTTGACCACCAGAAATGCGGCTACCAACGAGGTTCCAACAGTGACGCACTGCCAGTGACCAGTGGTGGACCGAAGATCAGTGAGGTTTGAAACAGGTCCAACATGCGAAGACGGGCAAAATATGCTCCAGAAAAAGTGTGGCCAAACTTGAAAACCTAACTGGTTGATGTGAAAAAGTTCGACAATCTTTGCAGCTGCAGACAAATAGCGCTGCAGATTGTCCAGTTGGGCTCGTCAAGACGAGAACGGCCACTGAGAGCAGTGCGAGCACTTCACCAGATCTAGGATCATTTAGGGGACGTGATGGGCCATTAATTTTTTGACGGAAACTGTCTCCCCTTTGCTCTGGAAACTGCCATGGGGAAGTAAGAAATAAAGTCACTCGCCCGATGTACGCAAAAATTGCTTGGCCTTGAATGACCAGCTGGGGCGCCCTGGAAACAGCTTCAGCTCATTCACATCCCTCGATTATATAAATAGTTGATTCCATCATAAGAGCTTAGCCTAGCCTTGCAAAGTCTTGGTGGTTAATTTTCAATCCGAATTTCGTGCCCAGTTTCAGCAGCACGCAGAAGCGCTGGTTTCAGTGTCCTTGTTATCGCAAAATCTCGGCCGTGGCAGACTCTCCTGGCATTGATAGAAGCCATGTCTTATGTAACTTATGTACAGAAAAAACAGAAAGGTCGCAAAACGGAAATGTCTCATTGTTTGTTTAGTAAATAATAGAAAATAGTACTAAATGGAATAGTTCCTTGTAATTTCCTGTTTAGTTGGTTGAGAAGGATCCACGGAGTTGGAGTACGTGAAGAATCACACGACTGTATATTATTTGGGTTACGTCATGTTGGATCCATCCTGGTATCCCGTATCTGCGTTGCAAATTTCGGCGGATTCCATTGGTTCCCTATCAATCTTGAGAAATCGCTACACCTTTGCTGGTTCAAGTATTCACAAAATGGCCTCATGGTTTCAACTCATTCAAATCCAAATAGATTTTAGGATGATTTCTCTGGATGATCTGGTTAGATCCCAATTAGCAGATGCCTCAGGGAACTGCCACTGGCCACATGTCCAATGCGCGACCCAATGGCTTTCTTATCATCGCTGCGGTCACCAGCTGCAGTGACCGGTCACGACCCAAGAAAAAACGTGCCATGAAAGGTCGACTGTGAAGCTGGTGGCAGTTTTTTGTGAACTCTGATTGGGGATGCGAACTTTAGTGCTGCAGTGATGGTGTATTTCAACTGGCATGACGAGCAACTTGGACCATGGATTCACTGGAGAGAACTTTTTCTGTTTCCTGGTGGAAAATACATGAAAATACACCATTTCGGGAATCTCTGGATGTTTTCTTTTGGATATCCCGGATATCCCCTTCAAAAGCGAAGAGATGTTGGTGGATCAACCCCGCAGGTGGAGCTGCGAACAAAGCACGGCGGCCGCAGCTTTCGCCTGGAGATGCTGGCGGCAGCAGGATCTCCCGTGCTTCGGCGAAGCTCCGGTTGGGTTGGTATCCACTGGCGAAGAACTGCTGAGAAGCAGGGTGAGCCCCAAGAAGTAGTCTATAGGTAGATGGTTTTGATGGTAGGGGTCATAACCTCGCTCATGACCCAGAGTATCTAGTTACTACTACTATTATATATATATATAACCATAAAACCATGAGCTTCCAATAGTGTCAACGCTGGATCCGAAAACCCTGATACTTCCGGAGGCTCACCATCAACAAAAAGTGAACACTTTTTTTCTAGATTAAGATCTGACCCCGAAATTAACATCAATTGAACATGTCAACGGTGTATGAACTGAAACCTGACACTTCTAAGTTTGCCAGACATCTTCACCTACAAGAGCACACTGGGTGGAAACGGCGACGTGGTAAGTCCAAGCGACTTGGTAGATCCAGTAATGAATTTCTGGATGGAAGATATCCTCCATGATCTTCATGTCGGGTGAGACAGGGGATGGTGTATCATTGAAAATATCATTATTATCTCATTTCTATGAGAAATTATTCTATTGTCTGTATCTATTAAATCCATTATCATTATATAATTTATATATTATTATCATTGGGGTTTATATTTATAATATTATATATATACACATAATATATATATATACTGTACATATATATATATATAATATTTACATGAGTAAAACGGGATTTCATGTAACACATGGGGTATCGGCCCCAACCTTGAATAGGTAGAAACTCAGTAGAAATATTACGACCCCATTACCCCCACATGTATAGTCTACATTAGCTCACCATGCGGTAGTAGTTTTAGCTGATTCCAACCTTCGATTGTATTGTACCGTCATCATGAAGACGACCTGTAGCTAGAAGCGTTGGCTGTATGTAGAGCCCTTGTATAGCATAGGAATTGCCGTCCCCACTTTCATCCAGCGGGTTCAACATAGTAGCCTTTGTTTGGCTCAAGATCAGACAGCTACAGGTTGGTGGTGAAAAATGCAAGTATGTGGTTGTAAACTAAGAGTTTGCTATTGAAAATTGCCATAGAAATAGTTATATAATTTACTAAACTTAATGGTGATTTTCCATAGTTAAGCTGGTTTACCAGAGGGTACGTGGTTGTCATGTTTTATCCAAACACCGTTCAAACACCACGAAAAAAGGGGTGATAATCCCAGTTAACTTGAAAAAGGGGGTTGAAGCCACCAACTTGGACGAGCTGGAGTTTTCAAGAGATGATTCAAACCAGTATAGCTTTGCCAAGCGGTCGCGGTGAGGCATTTACATTTCTTCAGTCCTCCAAAGTAGGGGACTTGAGGATTCTGGCACAGAAAGCGTTTCAACTTGGCTTCTTGAGGCTTGTGGCTGCAGACCATAGCGTGGTGGATCCTACAAAGTCTCTGCAGGATGCAGGACTTGAAGATGGAGACCACCTGACAGCTGTTGCCGTAGAGGCAAAGCTAGCGGCAACAGAATTCGCTTTCGCATTGTTTTGCCCTGGAGGTGGCAAGGTTGTGACTTGGGGCCATCCAGGTTATGGCGGTGACAGCTCTGAAGTCAAAGATCAGCTCAAGGGTGTCCAGCAGATTCAAGCAACTGACCAGGCATTTGCTGCGATCCTGGCGGATGGGTCGCTTGTGACTTGGGGCATTCCAGATTCTGGCGGTGACAGCTCTGAAGTCCAAGATCAACTCAAGGGTGTCCAGCAGGTTCAAGCAACTTCGGGCGCATTTGCTTCGATCCTGGCGGATGGGTCGCTTGTGAATTGGGGCGATCCAGATTATGGCGGTGACAGCTCTGAAGTCCAAGATCAACTCAAGGGTGTCCAGCAGGTTCAAGCAACTTACCGCGCATTTGCTGCGATCCTGGCGGATGGGTCGCTTGTGACTTGGGGCGATCCAGATTCTGGCGGTGACAGCTCTGAAGTCCAAGATCAACTCAAGGGTGTCCAGCAGGTTCAAGCAAATGACAACGCATTTGCTGCGATCCTGGCGGATGGGTCGCTTGTGACTTGGGGCGATCCAGATTCTGTCGGTGACAGCTCTGAAGTCCAAGATCAACTCAAGGGTGTCCAGCAGGTTCAAGCAACTTCGGGCGCATTTGCTGCGATCCTGGCGGATGGGTCGCTTGTGACTTGGGGTGATCCAGGTTATGGTGGTGACAGCTCTGAAGTCCAAGATCAACTCAAGGGTGTCCAGCAGGTTCAAGCAACTTCGGGCGCATTTGCTTCGATCCTGGCGGATGGGTTGGTTGTGACTTGGGGCATTCCAGGTTATGGCGGTGACAGCTCTGAAGTCCAAGATCAACTCAAGGGTGTCCAGCAGGTTCAAGCAACTCCGGGCGCATTTGCTGCGATCCTGGCGGACGGGTCAGTTGTGACTTGGGGTGATCCAGGTTATGGCGGTGACAGCTCTGAAGTCCAAGATCAACTCAAGGGTGTCTAGCAGATTCAAGCAACTGACAACGCATTTGCTGCGATCCTGGCGGATGGGTCGCTTGTGACTTGGGGTGATCCAGGTTATGGTGGTGACAGCTCTGAAGTCCAAGATCAACTCAAGGGTGTCCAGCAGGTTCAAGCAACTGGCAGAGCATTTGCTGCGATCCTGGCGGATGGGTCAGTTGTGACTTGGGGCAATCCAGGTTATGGCGGTGACAGCTCTGAAGTTGCTGATCAGTTTGCATATGTGTGATTACATGTGCAGCCAGCATGGCTCAAAGTGGCCCCTGAGTTCAGAATCCTTCAGTGCTTTGGCTTGCTTTGAGAAGCGCGTTTTAAAAGGACCCTGTGCAATTACCTTGGCTCAAGTCGCACGAGGAAAATAGAAGTGCGCAGCTAGTGTATGATTCAAGGGTGTGATAAGCCTTTGGGTGGTTGTTTCCCCTTGGTTTTCTCTACCTCATCCTTTATGTTTGTTGCCATAAATGGACACTAGCCATAATGAGCATTTTTGTTTGTTGACTAGTCAGATTGACCATGGACGGTGTTGATCCATCCCTATATATATATTATATATATTATATATATATTATATATATATTTACAGGTATATTAAAACCGTAAAATAAAACACCATCCCATGACGAGATTTTCCACCGCCCCAAGTGTTTCAGCTCGTTGGAGATGAGGCTGAGCCAGTGACGGTGAGCTTTGAGGAGCTTGACAGAGGTGGGGATGATACTCAGAGGTGATGATTTGGGTCATATATATATACACTGTGTATATATATATATATATGATATATGATATATGATATATGATATATGATTATATAAATATATATATATACATATTCATGTTTGATTAATATTTGGAGGTTTCATGAGGTTTCCTAAAATGTGGAGGTACTCCTTAAATCATCCAAGAATCCAAGAATTCGACCATTTTGGCTGGAAACTCATAGTGACTTGGGGATCCCCCATTTTGAGAAACTTCCATATGACAATCTATTGAAATTATGCTAAAGTTGATTTAGGATCAAGGTATCCGTCACGTTGATGCGAAATAGTATTGGTCTTTATCAATATACAACGACAAATTCGTCAACATTCATGAGGGCTTGCTAGCTTGTTGATTTCTGTTCATCGTCATGGCATTTTGCCTTTTTATCGTTTTCGGGACGGCTATCATGATAAAACTGGTCTCCCGACATCAAGATAGAGGAACGTTCCTGCTTGGTAACCATCCAAGCTTTGGGAATACAACCTCCAGTAGATTGCATGGCTTTTTAAGCCAAATGTCTTAACTTGGCAAGATCGTGGACCGTCACATTTTCTAAAGTCATTTTCCCATTGAGCGCTTCCACGGGAATGCTCAAGGTGGTTGTGTTAGCCAATGAGCATTCTTTTGATGGTGGCTCTGTAGTCGAGATATGAAAGGCAGCCGCGAATGCTGAAGGTGTGGTAGGTGAATTGTTCCAGAACAATTTGGTAAACCCAACATAAAGCGTACTCCATACACCCTACTTCATCACCTGGGGTAAATTAACCACAGTTGGGTCTCGCACTTTTCCACATTCTATACCTGGGGTAAACATCACAGGTCCCATGATTAACGCCCAAATGGGAATGGCTCATAAGGCTCACAATCGCATACCACAAACTTTAAAATCACGTGGATGCTAAGATTTTCTCAAACACATGATTATGGGTGCTATTACAAAAAAAAACACACCCACCAAAACATGGGTATGGATCAATACCTATTAATACCATTTTTAGGGGGATGAACATCCATTTACCAGCTATTTGATGTTCACCAGGGGTACAAGGTTTTGACACACTGCCACATAACCATATATTTGTGGGTCTTTAAAAGTCACCCGTTTTGACGCCGCGACCTCTCAGGTACCTTCTCCTCCCAGGAGGAGAAGATCCGGCTGCAGATCTGGAAGGCAGGGATAGTCCCAAAGTGGCCACATGATTTTTTTGGAAAAACCATGGGGTTTCAAACATTTTCAAACCACCTTTTTTCACAAGATCTGATATTTTTGAAACTGTTTGATTTCTTTGGGTGCCCACTGTTTTGGACACAACCATAAATCAAGGGTGGTGGCTTGTTTCAGAAGCTTTTTCGTTTTGCTTGGAACACGAGAGGATGTCAGTGATGTTTTCTTGTTTTGTTTTTCTTTCCCATGGGAGTTTGGGCCATCAAAATGGCTCTAAGAATGGCTTGCATTGCTGCCAGTCGGTATATGATTGCTGGATGCTTGCCCCGTTACACCTACCCTCTATTACTTATCAAATAAAACAGTTGTATATGGCCGTTTCAAGGTAGTTTCATGGAGGGGTTTGTCTCAAAATCCGGGATCATTACCCCACTTGACCTTTTTTGGGAAACTTTGGGATTTTGGGGTACCCTATTCTTGGACAAGCCAATGTTCTTAAAATTCCTCCTGTGATTCCTGTGGCCCCTTGGTTGACTGCGTACCGTGCTAGGAACAGATGGAAGAACTTTCCAAGGATGCGTCCATCCATCATCGAGGCTGCGTTGAGGCAGGGTTTTGGGGATCCGACATTTGGAGGTTTCAGAGTAGATTAGTTAGGGCCTGAACTGGAGTTCTTGTGTGTTTCTTTAAGATGTGCACCATGTTTTAAAGAGTGTTCGGTTTCGTCTGGCTTCTGTCATGCATCATACGGCTCTCAATCCCGAGAACGAAGATGAGTCAGGGAGCAGAATCAAATGACAACATGTAGAATCATGTAGACAGGTCTGCCACACCAGTGGAAGACATTTCCTTCGTTTTGTTTCCGAGAAGTCAGCAATGTTCTTTTGCATTATTACTTTGTTGCGATACGTGGCCAAGAATGCCAAATCCAGAAAACTGAGTGAATTCAGCATCAACTCCCCTTGGCGCGTGGATTGGGCTAATGATCCAATGCTGGTGTGGTTCCAGAATTTACCCTGGCCGGAAAGCGTCAGATCTGGCCAGATCATTTGCAACTACTGATCTTGTTGGACGGTTAGCGGGGTGTATTTAGATCATATATATATATACATATGTATATATAATATATAATATATATAATATAATATATATATATATATATACGTACATTATATGTATGTATATATATATATATGTATATGGTATATAGATATCTCATTGCGCTGGTTTCTCATCCGATATTACCTTCATTCTAATACACATTTTCCAAGGCCATTTTGAGGCATCCCCCACTGTGGGACGAGCCGATCTTGAAATCCTTGGGACATCTCCTGAAAATAGGCCCTTTGCGACCTCCTTGTGGCCGCCAGCGAGGAGAGATTGCCCGGATGGGTGTGTTTTTTCATGGAAAACATGATGACATACCCAGATCGCAAATAGGGATGCCTTTCTCCATTCGAGAAGGGCTTCCCCTCAGTGTTGGCTCCAGCTTCTGGTTGTGGCGTGATGTGAAAGAATTTCTCTTTTGTTTGAGTCTAGAACCTCACTAATCTCACAACAAGGCACCAGTCTCAGCTCCCTTTTGCGATTGACATGGCCTCGAATGGTGCCCCATAAAATGGTAACCTTGGGGAACATGAGAATCAACCATGGTCAAGTTGTATGGCTCAGCCCAGGACCTCGCAGAGCTCGCAGCTGCTGAATGCGAAGGCTGTTGGGCGATGCCATCTTTGGGTTCTGAAGGCCGGCAGCACCGGAATCTTCCAGCGTGGATGATGGGATTTTGCCGTTTTTTTTGCCACGAAAGACGATCGCATTTTGACTGCGCTGAAAAATCAACAAAGACAGAGTACTTCCATAGCAATTTTCATTGGGGTTTGTCGTGGCGCGCGTGCAAATGCCACCGGGAATCGCAACACTGAAAATTAGGATCATTGACCAGTTTTTTTTTCATTTGACCTTCACAATTGCTCAATCTTCACTCTTTTGCTAGTTGTGCGATCTTTAGTGTTGATTATCAATCATACAGTACCAATATGTGCTGCCCACAGCACTAGAATGGCCGGTGGACAGTTGTGCGTATTTCTCGGCAATATGGTATCGGTCATATCATATCCCAGTTTTCCCATTCCCCAAGAGCGGTAGCTTGGGGTTGTTCCATGTTGTTCCTTCTATATCTTCTATCCCTAGTTTAGTACCTTATCCCTATTTTAGTTTGTTCTATACCAGCATTTTTGGTGATTTTTTTATACCTCAACCTTGGTGTTGAGTGCGCATGACCCTTGACTGAGGCATTGACCTCTGCCAAGATTCAGACAGCGGAGCTCCGACCCCTGTGACGCTTGGCCTCGCGGACCACCATTGTGTGAAACATATTTTCCGGCCCAGGGGACCAGGTTTTGGGTATGTGTTTTTTTAATAAATATACCAACAATGTTTGTGTACCATGTGTTGGCCTACGCCCATCTGTAACAAAAATGGTCTCCTCTTCCAAACATGGACCCTTAACTTGTGTATTTTGGGGACACCGTTCTTGTTTGCAATTGCCGTTGTCGTATCGCCCTTTTTGTTGCTTATTCTGACTCAGTACTTGGTTGATATTCTTTTGTGTGCGTATGCGTTAATTTTTGAGACAGATTGGCCAGTTTGAGTCTTACGTATCTCACTCTGCGGGTATCAAAATGACTTGACCCATACCAGCATCCATTGATCAATCATTGGCTATTCACACAGGTTTCGTGGCTATATCCCACTGATTATTGGTTGCGTTCACGGATTTTTACACTGCTTGCAGCTCAATGGTGGATATAATCCCAAACCCATGGTGAAATCTCCAGCGGATGGTGCACACCATCGTATCACCCACCGGGATTGTCTGATTTTTTTTCGGTACCTGAAGTTCCATGTTTGACCAACATTTTTCGGGCATGGACCAAGTTTAGACAAACCTAAAGAGAATGTTGTTGACGATATACTGATATACTCTATATTCATTCTATATCCCCATTCCATTATCAGGTATCCATATCATTTCACCCAGTTACTAGATTTTCTTAGTTATGTAAATGTCAATAAGATTCCCACATATACCATGATATTCCATATCATTTATCCTATGATCTTCCACCGTGAATCTCCATGATCTTCCCATATCATTTCGCCGAGGCGTTACCTTCACCTTGTGCCGCTCACGCACATCCATGGCTTTAGCTATCCTTTGGATGACTTTCGGGAGCGAGCGCAGGCCGAAAACCAATGGGCTTTGCAGGTCAAAGATGCAGGAAAAACTGGCCATTTTGGGGGTCGTGTGACTTTTTTCCATATATATATATATTATATACACATACAGTTTCTTGTACTTAGCTTGCAGGAACCTTCTCATCATTGGGGAAGAGTGGGGAAGAATGACCCAACATTTGCTCAGTTTTCAAGGGCAGCATTCAAACATATGCAGGAACTGGTTGTTGGAATGAGAGTATTCAAGATGGACTTCACGCAGATGGTTCCCCTAGTGACAGATGGGTGTATGCGTCAAGATAGTCATCCACCCTTGAAAAAGTGGGTGGTTTAATATTTGCGAAATACTTCGAAACATGTTCAAATTTCAAGAATGGATGGTTTCATATTCAAAAAACATGATCTCTTCCAATTTGGTGTGTCCTTCATAGCATTCTGAAGGCGCTGGGACGCATGCCCAGCTGCAAGATGTGGTTGGACCATCCCAGCTGCTCGGGGCACCAGTTGGAGTTGCGGGCGGAGACTGAGCTGAGCCTTGGATGTTGAGGGATCTTGAGGGAAGGTGGGGCAGAATCTGGCAGAATGATGGTTTCACACGATGGGGTAAACATCTAATGTATTTGATGATGGTTGTTATGATGGTTATGATGGTTGTTATCTAATGATGGTTGTTTTTTTGCACATGAAGATTATGTCAAGTGACCGGTTCTTGTTTGATGGGCGGCATTGAGCAACCTCAAAAGCGGAGAAACTGATTGACAACTCATGAACATTGTGATGATGTCCGGGAAAATCTACGGGGTTTTCTAAGGGGGGGCAGGGGGCGGTTCTGTAATTTTTCTCCTTAGCCAACCCGTTTCTTCATGAGTCTTGGTTGTTGAGCCATGGCCCATGGCTGCCCATGCCAACGAAGGCTACACGCCCGCGTCCTGTCAAAGCCAATGCTGCTGGGCGGTGCCTGGCTGGAACCTGGGGAGCAAAGAACTCTTCGCAGTGCCTCGGTACTAAACCAGTGGTTGGGAAGCTCCGGAAAAGGTGATGTTGAAGGATTTGAGGATATATTTTTTGGAACATCAAGGAAACCAGCAGTGTTTGGGCAAGTCAACGTGTTTTACATCATCCAATGGCACCAAGCCAGGCGGCGACATCTTGGCCATTCGGGTGAGTGAGCTTACGGCGAACGTGCCGTTGATGGTATGGCGACTTCAAGTCACTGATTCATCCTCAGCTCCGACATTCGGTGGTGGTGCGAGGCTCATTCCCCTGCAGCTTGTTATGATTGGAGATCTAAGTGGCCAAAGAGAATTATCAATGTTCCAAACGAAAGCTTGAGAGTTTGAAGAGGCATGTGGAGTTTGGCTTTTGAGCCTACATGAATTCATGCACAATGTTCCGCCTGTGTTTTCAATCTTTCATTGCTTGCCTTTTGCGTTTTTAAAGCGACGGTCCGAAGCCAATCGCCATTCCTTCATGGGCAATGCCCAGCAAATGCCAGAGCTTGATGTCTCAAAAACAAGCAATGTGGAAACCATTCGGGTTAAGGCGCCTAAGCGATTTTGGGACACACCCGCCCACATATGACATAGTCCAAGAATGTCCAAGTTATGTAGGGGATTCTGCACAGGAAGCCAATGGCCATGCTTCAGCAATGGCTCCAAAATGAGTCTATCCAAATTGGATGATTAGCCATGCTTAGACAAGACACCTGGCCATTAGGCATTTCCTCACCCAATGCCATCAGCATCCAAGGCATAGGCCCGAGGACTTTCAGCTTGCTGAACGGGTGTGCCTCGGCCCACCGCCGAGCTTCAAGCTTTGGGCACCGCAGTTGGCGCAGACGGAAGGAGCTTGTGCAGTCATCGAGCGGCAGGCAAGGCGTTTTGAAGAAATGCCAGTGCTTGGAACCAGATGCAGTGGCGCCTCCCGGCAAGATTCGTTTGCAAATTCAAAGACCGTATCACATCATGCACCTAAATGCGCATATCATGCAGTTGAAACTGCCCACACTAGTTACCCTCTGGTAATTAAACGTGACAATAGACCGTCCGCCATTTATATTCCCAGTCAAGTGCTCATTTAGTTCGGGAATTTCCCAGCCAGCCATGTTTGATGTTTGATGACAAGGGAAGGTAACACCGTTTGAGCAGCGGGCCCCTGAATCTTTACTGGCCAGGCTGGAGAACACATACTTCGCCGGCCGCCTTGCGGGGAGCTGCCGATCTGGGCGAACTATCAGAAGCTGCTGCCAGGTGCTGGGGATTGAGTTGTCAAGCATCATCAAATATCATCACGGTTCTCCTGCCGAGTGTTTCTCAAACTTGGAGCGTCCAAGAACGATTCGCTTTGGCCCATTGGCCAATGACAGGTTCGCAGGCGAAGTTGGCCCATGGCACTCTGATTTGCATATCGTCTGCCTCGACGATGTGCGGGAACTTCCGGAGGTGCACGCGCTGATGACGATGTGGTTTGGTTATATTGTGTTGGCATTGCCAATGTCAAACCAAGCATTGGTCACTGTAACATGATACAGCTTGGCAGTGTACGAATTGTTAGTGTTTTCATTTGGCTTTGAACACTTTGTATCCATCTGTCTTCGGTCTTCGACACCCGGAGAAGCCGTGCCTTCTACAGGTGCACTTTTCTTGTCTTCCAGGACTGGGTCGCATTGCTTTTGAACAACCGGGCATCCGAAGATCTTGGAGAGTGTCAAAGTGAGGTCTTGTTTTAATTATGGGGGTTTCGGTGGGGGTACCCCAGATGGTTTTGGATATAGTGGGAAATGCCGGAAATCCCGGAAATCCCAAAAAAAAATGGATGATTTGGGAGGACACCTCTGGGTCCTTGCCGCGGCTGATCGCCTCGCCCTGCCGGACGGCCGTGGCCTCGCCCAATGCGGTGACGATGACGGCGGGGTGCTGGTTCTGTGCTAAACTAGTTTGTCCAAAAATGCGGGATATCCACTGGAAACCCAATATTCATGGAATATGTCAAAATTTGTGGGAAATGGATGGTTCATGAACAATTTTCTTGGGGTGCTCTATTTCCATATATGGCCCAAAATTGGGGCATCGAAGGGCCCACAGAACTTTGTTTTTCAAAAAAATCTAACAATTTGGAAATGGTGGTCAAATAATTTTGAGGCAGATGCGCCAAGATGGCGTTTCCATGCTATTCTTGGAGGAAATTTGAGTAGAAGATGCGGGAATTTGGGCGGCTTTCACCTTTGGAAACACCCACGTGCTGAACCATCGGGCTTACTAAGCAAAGCTGGTTCTTTGCAACTCCTTCGCCGCCAGAAGCAGGTGTTTGAAACATGCCCCGGAGGATGTTGTGGTGGGGTCGGGATGCTGCTGCCGTCAGGTGCGTGAGACACTGGTTGCTTCTGGGCCATCGCAGCCTTGGGGGCTGACAAGGCAAGTGCCGATGGAGCAGATGGAACGAGAGGCTTGTCTAACAGCCGGCTTCGTCTACGGTTGGGTTTGTCTGCATCGGGGCGCCAAAGAATCTAATGGTTCATTGGTTCACAACCATTTTTTACCACGAAACTTGCTACTCTGGTGCATCCACTATTTTTGGACAGACCCTGTGGAAGTGGGTATGGTTTCTGAACATCCCCAAAACCACAAAACAATTGGTCTCCCCATTGTACATGATAACATCATTTGGATGATTTTTGGGTTTCTTTACGGTTGGCAAAATTATCCCCGAAAATGGCTGGTTTTAGATTCGATGTGACCCGAAGTGGGTCCGTAAAGACACCCGACAACCTTGGAAGATCCCAACAACTTCGGGCCATCAATGACTTGGGATGTTCTGCAAAATGGGTATCGTGATGTGGTCTACCCATTGAGGACCCACACTCACTAAAATCGCATACTTTTCACAATTTGGTGTCTCCATCATTTTTTTTGAACACTCCCAAACGATTTTCTTGGATCAGCACTAATTCCATTCTCTTGAAATTTGAGAGATGACCATGTGGGTCTACTTATATCTACTTATTAGATTCTGTTCATATTCCTGTTGGTCACTAGTGTATGAGCTAGCAGGCAACTACCTTCCAACCAACATAACTGTGGCAGGGGTTGGTGATTCCATCCCCATCGTCCGTGTTCAGGACGAAAAGACTGGCCCCGAGGAGGCTGTGTGCCTACCTGGGTCCAATCTTTGGGGCGATGCTCTGTGCGAGGCACCTGGGATGTGAGACACAGAGAAAGTGGAGGTTGCCCGTTGCCCCAACGAAAATAGGAGATTTGTGGAAGTTTCCACATTTCTTGCAAACATTCTAGACACATTTGCTGTTTTCCACCAGCCCGAACATTGGATTAGTCTCTCCTCTTCTGTGACCGGAAACTCACATTTCATGCCAAGATTCGGAGGAAAATTATGCACTGAAGGCTTCAAAGCACACGGTCTCTTGCCGAAGGTCTCAAAAGGCGTTGAACGTTGTAGCCAAGAGCTTGTAGCCGATGGCGAAACTACGGAAACCACAGGGGTGGCATCGCAAGATGTTCTTGGCGTGCCTTGGTGGGTATTGGGCTCTTGGAAAAGCCAGTTGTTGATAGTTTTTGAGTGTGTTTGAACAGTCTTCCTTCACCTAAGAGGTAGACTGGATAGGGTACCCCTAAATCCTGAAATCAAGCATCATTCTACAATATTTCACCCAATCAAAAGTGCAAAACAATGGGGGTATACCGTATACCCCATATGTTGATTAGCAAAGTGCCGGCAAGCCTAGGACTTGGCTGGGGGATCGCTGGAGAGCGCAAGGGACTGGGAGGCACCCACTCAAGGTGGTGTCGTGGCCAGGTTGGTGATAGTTTCCATGGCATATAATGATCTTACGGCCCCCAGTTCAATGCTCAATCAGCTCAATCCCACTCCCCAGCATACAGGCATACATAGGATTCATACAAATCAACGCAGCACCCCAGCAGCAAAAGCATACATACAATTCCTTCGCATGCAAGCATACAGCAAAGCATACATACAAATCACAACAACATACCACTACATAAACATCCCGGCGGACCGGGAACCGTGCTCGTAGAAAACTTTTTTAAAATGTCGTTTTGGCTACAGCGAAACGCACATTTGTATGAGCCAAACTTGGCAAAATTCTCGCACGAGACTTTGGCCAAATTCGCGTTTCGTGAGGGTTTTGGACACTTTTCATTGGATCAATTTGATAGGCGCTTTTTATTGTCTTTTCAAACCAGGCGCTTCAGCGTTGAACTGTTTTTTTTGCTGGAGCCGAGTATGTAGGTTCACATATCGCCATTGCCAGCATTTCACATACAGGAGAAGACCTTTGATCTTTATACCCCACCCCACCCCTTCGTGATACACTGTAGCAACAACGCCAGAGATCTCTGCAGCCTAGCAACATTTAACGTACGAAGTACAAGGAATGTTAGCATGGCCCCACCCCACCCACCCCACCCCCCCAACCCACCCCACCACCCCCCCCCCACCCCACCCCACCCCACCCCACCCCACCCCCACCACCCCCCACCCCACCCCACCCGACCCCACCCCCACCCCACCCCCCCACCCCACCCCACCACCCCCCACCCCACCCCACCCCCACCCCCAACCCCCACCCCC